GTTGTTCAGGGTCCCCAATGTAATGCAGAAACAAACTCCTTTGCCCAAGACACAGACTGTTAATAGTTTTTTGCATGATAGAAAAATCACCTTCCCTTAAGTCACCCTACTGTTCCTGTCAAGGGCACATTTCCCCAGCTTCTAATTATCAAGCTTGGTTGAGCACAGAAGCTTGTAAATGCTACCCATTGTTGTGTGGATGGTGTGTTCCATTCACAGTCAGGAAAACCTAACAGTGATCTGTTAGGCAATTCTCTGGCTATTCACACAGTTGTAGGGCCATTAATAACAATTGGCTTGAAGTTGCTAATCCCTTGTGGAAACAAATAGAGGTACATGTACATGGAGGTGACTGGACAGTGTTTGCCTACTTCCCAGTAATGGGTGCAGTGACTTTGTCCAGTTAGGCAAGTGGGGGGTTTTGGTATCACAAGTCCTTGGAAGTTTGCTGTGCACACATCAAAGATTTCCTGGTAGCAACTTGGATCTCGTGTTTAGGAAGGTGAGTTCATAGGAGGATTTCAGCAGTTTTTTGCTTCTTTTTGATGGGGCCGGACTGGAACCCAAGACATCAACTTTCTGATGTCTTATGCAACTTACCGGTACTTTATTACCCTCTCCTGTGGGGTGTTCAGTCTGATAAGTCGGTAACGAAAGGAATACAAAAATTTGTGTTGGAATTTATGTACATTCTGTTTATTGCCTGTATGGAGTTTTCTGAAAGCAAATGACACATGTACCGGTAGGTTATACCAGTACAAAAGTGATCAATAAGAACCTGTGCATTTTCTGTCCTAATGTAGTTCTTGACTGGAAACTATCAAGAAAAGGTCTTATTTGTTGGGGGCGGGATCAAGGTTCATTCAAATATACATGTAGAAATACAAAGACGCAGAGAGCCCAGAGGCCAAGGGGTCCGTATGTTCCATTCTTTTCCTCTATTCTGATCACCCAGGATCCGCCTTTTGCTTGTACCCAAGACAGAGTCAGGCATGATGTTCAGAACAGGTACCCCGTGCCATTGGTCTTTTTTCTTCCTCCATGTTCTGGTCATGGACTGGTACACCGGGCTTGCCAGTGTTACAGTTACAGGCTTTTGAGTTCCATGACTTGCAAAGGTCTCCACCGAGATCGTGGATAAACAGAAAAGTACATTTGGGGGTGGGGGGGACCCTGTGCAAACATGTTTGAACAAATATCCCTCCCCGCCCCTCAGAGTACAGTGAATGGCATCATAATAGATAGGTGCTCGGAGGAGATTCACGTGGAAGAAACGTGAACCCTCGTTTCGGTGTGCAGAAACAACCGTACAGGCACTTCATATTAATCTACCGTCGAGATCATCTGTAACAGAATTAGGCCTACCCACCAGCATGCCTTCAATGAAATTTGTTAATTTACTATGTTTGAAGTACTTGACTTTAATGTAGCTTATATTTATATTTAAACTAAAACAAAAACATGCATTGCTTTTCTTCAAGCTTTTTTTTGGGAGGGAGGAGCAGACGTGATTTCACAGACTCTCATTTTAAAAACAGAGTTGTAAACTTCTTTTGTAAAAATCTTTTGGGCCTTTTTTTTCCTTCTTAAAGAGCAACTCAAAGGAAAACATGTTTTCTCTGAATTTATCTGTTCAAATAAATAGGGAAGCTGAGAAATCCAGCGCAGTGTAATTTGTCTTCAGAGCTCAACTATAACAAGCTAACAAGGGCTTTTTTTCTGTTCATGCCAAGATGTGAATTCTGAATGTAGATTGCATCATTCTGAAAAAACAGAGAAAATGAGGGGAATGATGCAGTCTACATTCAGCGTGTTCAGAATTCACATCTTGGCATGAACAGGAAAAAAAGTCCTTTTTAGCTTGTTAAAGTTGAGCTCTGAAAACAAACGACAGTGCCTCCGATTTGGATGTTTCCAATTTATTTGAACAGATAAAAATCAGAGAAAACATGTTTTCCTTAGAGTTGCTCTTTAATAAAACTTGCATTCTTGTAAATGATTACAGCAAACTTGAAAGGAACTGTATGCTCCATAATCCAAGAGATTGCACCATTTACATTCCCCCTTTTTCCCCCAAGAATGAGCTATCGCTTACATTAAACCAAGGATAATCCCAAAGTTAATCTCTTAATGTGGACTGCTCTTGTCATGCTTATCCTGACGAGCCGCCACTTTTTGTTTTTTTTCCTCTTCTGATGGAAACTTCAGGGATGAACAGAACTCTGTCGCTCAAGAATTTCACATCATGGTCTCTCTGATATAATTTTTTTTTCTGTCATTTAATGGATTGAGTTTTCCTACCCAAACGTTTCCCCCCCCCGCATGTCAGTGGTCTTTGGGCAATTGTCTGGCTCTACAGCTATAAACTTTCCGTTCTGCTCTGTTAACAAGGTACATGTACTTAGCAACAAATGACTCTGTGAAACCTGTGTTAATGCCCTCCCGGTGATCCGATGATCGGTCATCCCTTTGTCAAAGCTAACCTTCCCCAAGTCAGTAATCATCATACAGTGCCTCATTGCATGTGTAACCCACAGAGGCACGCAGACAATACCCTCACCTTCAAATGGATTAACCAGACCCTTCCAAAAAATTCACAGACTGTGGGTCAGCACGGGCCTCCCACCGTCATTACCTCTGTCAGAACTGTTTCTGTGGCACAGGAAACGGTAGCTATGCAAACAGTCGGGGAGTATTGCAAACAGGGACAGCTGGTGGGGAAAAAAAAAACAAGAAAATTTATCGAGTTCACATCCGCTCTTGAGAAAAGTATTTGCTTCCAGGCCCTCTGGAGGGTAGGGTTACACAGAACCCAGAAGGAAAAAAAATCTACCCTGTGTTTACTGGAAACTTGATCAAGTGAGTGTGCCTCCAAAGACAAATTGGGGTCCGGTAGAATAGAGTTTGCCCTTGCTGTACTGGCAGCTCATTATCGGGCATAGAAGTTTCCAGCTTTGGGCAAGAGAAAATGTTTGCAAGCGGTGAGTGAACTTTTTCTTTTTCTTTTTTCATGATTGCTTCGTCAGGTTTTTTTTTTTTCATTTTCGAAGGTTTTGTTGCTGGTCTTTTTATTTTTTTTTTTATCGTCAGCTGTAATCAATGCTAGAATGGAAGGAACTGTGTTTGT